TAATTAGATCAGTATCACCCGATATGGCTGGGGAATAATTGGCCATCAGTATCGACCAAAAAAAAAAAAAAATCTATAAATCGATGCACCCCTAAAATTAAGGGCCATTTAAAATTTTAAACAGACTCATATGTACCAGAATATTTTACTGGATTTGGAAAATAATCCAATTTTGTAACCACTGCAGAAATAGCAAGCAAATACATTTATGAGTAATCTTTTTTAAAAATTTTTTATAAAGGGAACAGCTACCCATTCTGTTTTCCATATGACAGCCATATGAAATAAACCAGCAACCTACCATTCTCTTAACTCCTTTACCACAAGTTAACTTTGCTGCTTTCCTACTATTCTGTATTTCCTGGATTTATTTTTAAAAAATCTGGTAACTGTAGAGTTACAGAGAATGGCAACTGCATGTGTAAGATCTGGTAACAATACCATAGAGAAGTAGCTGATCTCAAATAATCGTTTGGGACTTGATCCACAGAGCTGCTGAGCAATTTTAAAATTTCCATTAATTCCAGTGGGAATTTTGGGTGCTTATAAGTAGGACCCTACTGCATTCATAGCATAAGTGCAGTGCACTGTAGCTCCTTTAATCTTGCAGGTTCCCTTGCACTCCTCCCTGCCTCTGACTGGTGGAGGGGCCCCGCTTGTAGCTTGTCCCTGAACAGCAGGGAAGCGAGAACCACGGTTTTAAACATAGCGCTGTTTTTGCCTCCCTGCTGGTGACCAGCAAGAACCAGGGCCACTGGGGTCCTTCAGTCAATCAGTGGCAGGAGGCAAAAACAGCACCATATTTAAAAAACACAGTTTTCACTTCCCTGACAATTAGAAGCAAGCCACAAGAGAGGCTCCTCCACTAATCAGCCTGGAGCTAATCAGCCAGATGCAGGGTAGGGGTGCACAGGAAAATCTGCAAGATTAAAAAGGACCTGAAATGCACCCCACTTTCACCATTAATTTGGTGGAGCCCTACTCATAAGGCAGTCTTCATCTTGCAAGACTGTTCTAATGGAGACTAACTTAAGTCTCTGTATTCAAACTCTTATGAAAGCTCATCAGCTTCTTTTCTTTGTACCAGTGTCCTTCCCATACACTAGGCACAAAATGAATATTTAATTTTAAGCCTAAAAGGATATCCTTAGAGTTTGTCATTTGTCAGATCACTGCATAACATTATGGGAAGACAATTAATGCACTGAATTCATCAGCTGTGCTATTTCATATCATCTAAACAAAATCTGCTATCATCTAAGAAAATTCCATATTACTAATTACACTAAGAAACAAAATGTTGCATCAAAACCATTCATAAATAAGACTTGCCATGGAAACAATTTTTGTTTCTAAATCCAGCACTTTAATTTGATGATTATTAGTATCTGCAACGTAGAGAAGGCAGCCATTCCCTTCAACACACAAACCTCCTGGTTCATTGAAAGTTGATTCTGTAAAGCTGGAACCAGTAACATTACTTGCATCTCCTGTACCTGCCAGTGTAGCACAGTTCTTCATTTTGGGATCTACAACCTTAATCTAAGGAAAACAAAATGAACAAAAAAAAGCCCTGTAAATTTGTCGGAATTAAAAGCAAACATACTCTGTGTGCACTTGTGGTCATTCTTTTCAGAAGTGACTAGTGATCCTGGGTGCTTTAGTTATCTGGTGCCCAACCTGACCCATTGTCATGTGGCAAGAACTTCTGACCGTCATTTCTCAGTATTTTTTGAAAATCAAATGGTAGTAAGGTAGTAATATTAGGTTCACTGCACAATTTTATAAACGTGACCAGCTGTCCCAAACCTGAAAATAATAATCCTGAGTACACCATCTTCTTCCCTGATCACAAATACCCACACAAGACATAAGAATGAAAAATACATTGTCTATGTTAAAGAAAATGAGACTAATCTAATGAATAATTAAAACAGCCAAACCCTGATCTTCATTCTTGTGTATGACTTTAGATTATTGTGGCTTAATTACAGCATTCACTGGTAAGCATGTGCGTAGCCACAGGAACTTTAGGGAGAAGTTTGCTTATGAATAATATTTAAGAAATAGATCTCTAATCTATGTTCTTGAAACCTCACGTACTTCCTACTAAGTAGCTTCATAACAATTTTAAACCAACTTTTAAACCAATTGGGTACAGCACAATTTGAAAAGTTTTTTTTTTTTTAAAACAATGGCGATGTGCAAATGAGTTTAGTTCATAAATAAACACACTTACAATTTGCTAAAACTATAAACCTTTGTTTTACCTCCCTTTCTTTTCCTATACATTATACATACAACATGCAATAATAAACTACCTGATCAGATGAAATCCAGGATCAAAAATAAGTGAAAAAATGTCTTTTTGCTTGGTTGTGCAAAGTACAATTTTTGCACAACTGAATCTGAGAGACCCTTTCCCTACAATATTTGAATCTGATTTTTGTGATGAAAAAAGTGACAAATACAGTTGGGTACAATATATCATACAAACTCACCTTATGGTTGTAGGAATCTGCTATGTAAAGTAGCTTCCTTTTCTTGTCCCAGGTTACTCCTAAGGGGTGCTGCAGTTTTGCATTTATTCCTGCTCCATCCACATCACCAAAGGCAAACAAATTCTAAAAAAGTATATTATTAAGTTAGTACAATTAGCTGGCTATTCAGAGTTGACATATGACAGCGTTAATTACCACAATTACATAGAGATTAGCTGGCTCACTTTTTAAAAGATACAAAACTTGGGGGCTGGGAACTTAAGGAACTGAATATGGATATGGAGGCTCACCTCTAGGTCATCAGCCAACTTCTGCAGTTGCTACCACAAGACAGTTTATTTTGTGAAGGAGTTGGTCAGTTAAATTTTTAGTGACCAGCAATCTGTATTACAAAAATGACGCCACAACCAGCACTTGCATTTACAATCTAAATAGTGAATTAAGAAATGACTGGGCATGGAGACTGAATTACCCTCTCCAGACTGACAGTTATTCCTCCCGGTTGAGAGAAATTAATAGGGTAGTGTGGAGAAGTCTGAAGTGATTGAAGTTATTACCAGTGGGTCTCGCTCTCCTCCTACAAGGTGTTTCACTGCTCCATCTTTCAGTGAGACCATTCGCACAGTACTACTCTCACTGTCTGCTACAAAAAGGCAGTTCCAGGGTTCTTCAGAAGCCAGAGAAAGACCTGAGGGTTGGGCAAAGCCTGCTTTATGGGGATATGCATTGTTTCGATTCTCTTCGTTCCCACTGCCGGCAAATCGAAGGCAGGTTCCTTTCTTTAAATCACTAAGGGAAAGCAAGTATCCAGGTTCAAAGATAAGCTTGAAACAGTTCAGACAAAAACAAGTTTCTTTCAGTTTGGGAAATCTATTCAGTATATGTAAGTTATCAACCTAATGGGCTATAAAGCACAGGCAATTATTTGAACCGCCTCTAGTCTAACTGGTATTTTAACTTTATTTAGAATTTACAATTAAACAGCATAGCATAAATGCAATGTAAAATTGCATTTAATGATATAACTATGGAAGTACATTCTACAAAAAAGCATTTAAGTCACAATATGGGCTCACCTTCCTTTTGGTAGTTTTCCACATTCTAACATGAGCGCCCAGATTTGATGAGTACCTGCCATGGCTACCCACAGCACAGCATCTTCCTGGGTCCCTGAAACGTCATCAAAAAGAAAAGAACAGAATGAAGGCAGGTCCCATTATTTATAAAAGGAAACACTTATCAAAAAAAGTGTATTCCTCTCCACATACCAAGAGCTTCACAGCTCTTCTTCTATAGCTTTAGCAGGTGAGAAAGTTGTACTTTTAGAACCTTTGATAAAAATGACACTCTGAATGGGAAAGGCAGTCAGCATTAGGTATAAGTATTACCACATATTCTCACATTCATACTGGGTAACAAATACATCAGATCTTGGCAAGACATTTAAGACCCAAACTAGTGACAAAACTGAAGTTCTCAATGAATACTGTTAAGTGTTTGCAGGATAAAAGGAATCTAGTGAACAGCACTACTACTTACTTACCACATACTCACTTTGAGTTAATTTAGGCTATGTTCAGAGAGTAAACTTACTGTCCTAGTGGCAGTACCCTCAAACATGTGGAGCTGCTCAGGTAAACTGCCTCCTAAAAGTTAAGAAGAATAGCTGTCCCTGTACAGTACTTGGGGTGGCCAAGCATCTCCCAGCTGACTAAGTGCCACTTGGCCTGGTACCAACCTGACTGGCCTGCCTGCTCAGCTATGCCTATGCTGCTTCCCATTGAAGAGGCAGCCTACCTGGAGCAATGCAGCATGCCTGAGGATGTCCTGTCAAGAATGGTAGGTTCACTGCATAGACAGTCTTACCCTGGGTTACAATATGAAGTTTTGTGGGCAGAACTGGAAATCTATCTGCAAACATTAAGTGTGAGCACACTCAAAACTTCTTTGTGGTGGCAGAACCCTCCACTCAGTTGGCAGAGTCTGCTCATCTCTGCTGAGTGGAGTGAAGCTTGTACCAGCAGCCAGCTGTAGGAGCAGCCAATGCCCTCCCAAGGGCATATAGCAGCAGAGCTGCATGGAGCAGGTCAAAGAGTTGTGCATATGCATGTACTGCCAGAACTTCTCACGGCAGGGTTAGCTTAGTGCTGCCACTGCATTAGTTTTTAAATCCAAGGCTCTGATCTGGCAAATAACTCTGTTCTTAACTCTACTCCCCTGAACAGTCTCACTGAAATTAAAATGGCAGCAAAGTTAAAGGAGGGGCATAAGCATTTTCCTTAGTGGGGGTCAAGTGAAACCGGCGCTCATGGGAGGTACAGTATACTCTGATACGCTGGAGAGTGATGTTTGGCATTTACTTGAAGACTACCCCCGGCATACACCGTCACTACCCTAAATTTTCTCCTGCTCTTATGGTGTCTTATTCCTCATTTACATGCAATAAGGCAGTTGCTTGCTCTTAAGGTAACCATGGCTATGGTTTGCTGATTTTTTTTTTTATTTACTTTTTCAAATGGATGATTTTTAAAAACAGTTACTTGCTATATAAAGCTTCTGATAATTAATAAACTTAGACAACATTTGTCCAGATGTTATTTACTTTCCAGTAAAATGACACACATAAATATAAAGATAGTCTATGTACAATATGAGCCTTTTGGGGATGGGCAGAATATAAAATTGCATAAACAAACAAAAAAACTACATTTTCAAAGCAAAGTCAATAAAGAAAAGGTCAAATAAATGTGACTAATTAAAGGCCTACAGGCATTCTTACATGCATTTCCGACGTGGTGCTGGGTGCTTTTAATTAGTGAGCTGTGCTAGTTAAAAGCTCCTGCATGTCACATGTATCAGCAGCCCAATGCGACTGCGCTAATAGCGGCAGTACACTTTGAACTAAAGCACACTGAACATGTTTTAGTTCAAAGCGTACTACTGCCATTTTCTCAGTGTGGAGACACGCTGCACCGCTGATACACGTGACGTGAAGATGCCAGAACGTGTCTATTTATGTGTTCCAGCAGACTCAATTAACTGAGCCTGCTCTGAAACGCCGGATTTCCAACGCATTGTAGCAGGCTCACCGCATGCATGTTTAAGTGGCCTATGGAAACAAATAAAGTTATTGCTTAATCTTATGCTTTCTGTGACGTTTTAATAAGTTAAAAGAACAAAGTTTTCAAAGTATAAGGAAGAGTGGATTAACACAGATATTTGTTACTCTTCTAACAGTTGACAGTGTAGTTATTTGTTATCTTCCTTATTCCATCGAAGACAAAGGGGTCTGTTGACATGTATTTTACTCATATGTTGTTTAGACACAGAAAGCACTAACAACTTCCATGTTACTAAGAACTTTTTCAAAACCAATACATCAGATATTGAAGCATCATAAACATAATAGTTCAGATATTCAAATAGCTATGTTATGTTAAACACAAATGCATGATTTTATTTTTAGAAGTCTCATATTTGTGTCAAAGTTTGTTACTACTGATATGAACTCACAAAGTAACACTAGCTTTATTCCTGCAAGGCCCTTAATAGCACCCAGTGTTATCTAACCTTTTCTAACCTCAAAATTCAAAGACTTTGTTACTGACATTTCAAAGTGCTCTAGAAAAAAATGGACACGTTCAAGTTCTGAGAACCTGACAAGATCAACCTTCCCAAAGCAAAAACTGAACCCCCCCAAATCTAGGCAATATTTTGAAGCAGCAACCACAAATTGTCCTTCTAGAACCAAACCCATTTTTATTAATAGAGGAACTCCTATGAAGCTTGGGTTACTCTTGCAGCCTCAGGAAAAAATATTTTTCCACATTCAGAAACAGTTCTCTGACTCTGATGAGCTATTTTAAGAATATGCATAGCCACTACCAAATGCAGAAAGTAATGCATTTTAAATGCTATTAATCCTCTCCATGATTTTCCAAGATACAAGTTTCCAAGACTAATCAAATACAACTATACTGAATCCTCCTTCTCCTCCACATATTCAACATTTCTATTGAAGCAGGAGTTTTAGTAATAAAGTTTAACATTCACAGCATCTATAAACTTCTGGCAATTTGGAGGATCCACAGATGAGTTAAAAAAATTTCAATAATAAACATTTGATAAACCAGAGGTTTCACCAAAGCACTGAGCATTCTTCTTAGAAGTTCATCATTGCTACTGCTGAGCATAGCCTGTTTCAACTGAATTAATTTTTAAGTGATAGAGGAACATATTATAATTATCCTAGTACATGTAGACATATTTAAGTAATTTCTACTTCTGCTCCATCTGGCAAGGTTATCCAGGGAAAGAACATACCAAATTAAACAACTGTTATTTCATAAAAAAAAGGCTGGCTATTGCATTTTATAACATCCAAGTTCCTGGTTGTATTACAGTCTTTAATCAAATTCTAGTATGGACAAGAATACTATTAAGTGTTCACAGCTACAAGGAAAGAAAATGGCCTCTTACAATCATTATGACCTGCTACTGCACTAGCTCAGCTGCAGCGGCTGATGCATGGAGGAGGGAAGATAGCTAAGGTTTTGCCCCTTCCCATACTCTTCTGCTGGTGAGTGTCAGTAAGGTAAAGAATATCCATATAGTCCTGCATGGCTCTACCTGAAGCTCAAGGAACCTGCAACACATTGTAAAGGAGTCTCTGCCTCAGCTTTGTGCGTGAAGTCCAAATCAAACATTAATAATTGGTAAATACTTAAATCATTTGTCAAATTCATAAAACTGGAAGAGACACAAAAAAGGAAAGAGGACAAGAGAGATTTTTCTTCAGATAAGGATAATGAGCATGCAACATACAGTACTTGGTTATAATCTTCCCTTTATGATATTGGCAGGTCTACAGTAGCTCTGATTTTGGAAGAGAGATTTCTTTAAAGCTGAAGCATGTACATGCATTTATATTCCCTCATTCTGCACCCACATGTATTCACTCTAATCAGAATATATTAGGTTGAATCAGAATATATTAGGTTGAAAAAAAGAGACAGTTAATATCTGTCAGTAATATACCTAATGTTAAGCACTTTTTGAAATAAAGTCCTAAATAGCAGCCTCTTTTGTGTATTTTAAAAAGTAGTTGGAAATTTCATATCGTTTTGGAAAGAAACCCAGGAAAGTCTTTTTCAGAGTCCATTAGTTGTCACTGCATCTGGATTCCATCTCAAAATGGACCAAATACACTATCAACTTAGATGAGCATCTTTGATGATGTGCTAATTAGTACACGTGCGAGCTCACAGGAATTGGCTATATTTCTATTCTGTGTATTAAAACTTTAAAACATAAAAGTAATGCAGAATGCTTCAAGATGGAAATCAAGAAAGCAATCACTTGTGAAAATTTAGGTCATCGCACCTCAAATGAATACAATACAGTTTATCATAAAGGATCCACAAAGCTCTTCAAGTTATCCAATATCCAATTTATCCACCAATGAAATATAGCAAGTAGGGCCATGCAAAGCTTTGGTCCCTGATTCGATTTGGCGGAGATTCGGCCCGATTTGGTGGCCAAATCTCCAAAACTGAATCGAATCAGGAGACTCTTTAATCTCTCCGAATCGAATTGGAACCCTTTGAATTGATTCGGAGAGATTTGGCAGTTTGGATATAGGCACAGCTTTAAAAGTTTTTTCTACATATCTCAAGGTACCAGGCGGCTCACAAATGCTGAGATGCTAGGATGGATGGAGCATCAGTATGCTCAGCATGATTGGAAGCAGACCAGAAGCACTTCTGGTTCACCAGGGAGTGCACAGCACCCCCACCCCCCCCGGCTTGGTGCCTCCAGGGTCTGGGGTGGCACCCAGGATCCCCCCATGGCCGATCACTGAGCTAGGGGGGCATGGGGGGGGGAGGGGGGCTCCCCTGCAGACCCGGAAGTAGACTGGAAGAATGTCCGGTCTACTTCTGGGTTTACCACCGAGGCCATGGGGGCTCCCCTGCACTCCTGTGAGATGCTCCATCTGCCCCAGCATCGCAGTGTTCACAAGCCATGCCTGCTACCTCAAGGTATGTAGAAAAAAACATTTAGAGCTGTGTCTATGTCAGAGAATCAGCACTGAATATTCAGATTCTGATTCAGCTGAATCGAATCGGGGACAGTGATCCAAATAAAAAAAATTGAATTACTGTCTCCGATTC